GTGCAGGGGAGTACCTGGGTGCAGGGGAGCATCTGGGTGCAGGGGAGTACTTGGGTGCAGGGGAGTATCTGGGTGCAGGGGAGTACCTGGGTGCAGAGGTCGATCAGGACAGACGGGTCATGAATCCGAGTGGTCGTGGCAAAGACGGACAGGAAGGTTCAAATGCCGTGAGGCTGGGCCACGTGACTGCTCCCCCGCCCCAGAGGAAGGGGCTCCTAGGCCCGTCCTGGGGGAAGCGGTGCCCGTGGGGGAGGGGCAGAGCCCTTACCCGTGGGGACCGGCCGTGCGCACCCCCAAATGCAGGCGGTTCCTGAGCAAAGGCCTAGGACCCAGGAGGACGGCCCCACCCGCGCTCCCCCACCTGAGGGGACAGCACGCTGTCCACACGGGTGTCAGACCGGCCACCAGGGCTGCGGCGGGGAGCTGCCCGGCACACAGCGGCTGCTGAGGCCCTGCCGGGGGGACAGGCAGGCCCTCCCCACGGGGCTGCCTTCTCTGGCCGGCCAACCAGGGCTCTCGTTCACTCCCCAGGGCCGCTGGCCACCCGGGGCCACTGGCCACCCCGAGTGGACAGACTCGTGTTCTGGCGGGAGAAGTCGGAAGCCGAGGCTGACCGGCTGCAGCTGGACTCCACTGGAGCCCGTCCCTGGGGGCCTGGGTGTGGGCAGCGGCCCAAGGTGAGGAGCTGCTGCCCCCCACGCAGTGGGGAAAAGTCGGCTGTCACCGCAGGGAAGGGACCCGTTCCAGTGACCGCGGATCCCCCAGGAGGACACTCCCGGCCACCACGGGAGGAGCTGCTCCCCCGTGTTCAACCAGACCCCACGTCCACGGGGCCCAACCCCTGGTACAGGCTCCAGAAATGGTGAGCAAGAAACACCCACGTTCCACCCACAGGACACACGCCGCACGGGGGGACATCTGGGGGCCAGGGAGTATCTGGACAGGAAAGGATCCCAGTGCGAAGGAGGGTCTGGATGGGGGGAGCACCTGGGAGCAGAGGAGTATCTGGGTGCACAAGGAGCATCTGGACGAAGGGCAGTGCCTCTGTTTAGAGGAGCATCTGTATGCAGGGGAGCACCTGGATGCCAGGGCCGACCTACATTCAGAGAAGTAGCTGGGTGCTGGGGAGTATCTGTCTGCCTGGCAGGATGCGGGTGCAGGGGAGTATCTGGCTACAGGGAAGTATCTGGCTGCCTGGGAGTATCCGGCTGCAGGGGAGTATCTGGCTGCAGGGGAGTATCTGGCTGGGAGTGAGCGCAGGGCAGTACCTGGTTGCTGGGAGCATCTGGGTGCAGGGGAGTATCTGGCGTCTTGGGAGTATCTGCCAGAGCATGCGCGTGCAGGGAACTGTCTGGCTGCCTGGAGCATCTGGGTGCAGGGGAGCATCCGTGCCCAGGTGGAAGAGGAGGCCCCGCCCACGCCCCTTCCCACGCCCCCCCCCCCAACCCACCGCGGCAAACCAGGGCGCAGAAAGCGCTTGGTTTCCAATTTTGTTTTATTAGTTGGAAAAAAAAAACCCCAAAACCCAAAACAAAACAAAACAGCCGGATATCCTAAGGCATCGGAGGGACGCGAGGACCCTGGGGTCACCTCCACTCGGGAGGCGTCCGGCGTCGCCTGGGTCCAGGTAGCTGGGCATCGGCCCAGGGCTTGCGCGTCCAGGCATCTGACGGGGCCGGTGTCGGACCACAGGGACTGGGTCCTGGTGGGCCTTTCCCATCCCCGGGAGCCCCAGGGGTCGAGGTGACACAAGTCCCCGCGGGTTCGTCCCGCTGGTCACCTGGCGTGCTGGTCACCTCAGGTCTGGCTCAGGGAGTCCATCAGTGGAGATGGGGCGGCGGCTCCCCAAGCGCGCGGTGGCCTCTGCGCTCACCAGCTGGTCTTGCAAAGTGTCACTGGGCAGGTGTCACTCCGCGACGGACCTGGGACTGGGCTTTTCCCGCCCACCGGCCTCTACTTCTCCAAAAGCGTGCGCTGCACTGGGCGGACAGAGGACAGGGCGTCACTCCCCAGTGCCGCACGCACGCGGGAACGCCCTTCCTAGAGGACCCAGGAGGCCCGGGCACCTCAATCTAACACGCATACTAAAAGTCACTCAGTGAGCCCCACGGGTGACGGATGGGACCCCCAGGAAAGGGACACCAGGGATGCTTGACCACTAAAGCCCTGTCCCCAGCCCTTTTTATTCTTTTTTTATTTTGAGACTGGGTCTCGCTGAGTTGCTTAGCACTTCAGTTACTGAGACTGGCCTCCAACTTGCCGTCCTCCTGCCTCAGCCTCCCAAGAGGATTACAGGGGTGCACCCCCGTGCCACACCCAGCCAAATTCTCCTTCTTAGACTTTTTTTTTTTTCTTTTAAGGTGACTTAATCGAAGAGGGGCTTAGAGCACAATTCTCACTGGGCACCTGAACCCCTGGGGAGGTGACATACTGACTGACCGCCCAGCCACCCGACCTGGAGGAACGCACCCAGCCCTGCAAATCTGAAACCCGAGGGTGCGGGCGGGAGCAGCCACACAGGTGTCCAGGGCTCAGGGACACCGGGAAGCCGTCCCCCCTACCTGCCCGTCCTTACCTGGTGGCTCTGCGTTGGTGCCCGCTCGGTTCTCCAAGTCCACTTCTCCTTGTCCGGCTGCAAAGAATCAAACAAACACGCACAGCTCAGTGGAGCAGGGAACGCACTGCTCAAGATGCACAAAACACACCCCCGGGGGGGGGGGGTGGACAGGTTGGACGCCAGGGTCTGCTGCACCCCCGGCTTCATTTCTCAGTCCTAAGACCCTCCAGGAACGAGCAGTGAGCACGGAACCCCCACTTCAAGGCTCAGAAGGGACCGCTGGGCTTGGAACTCTTGCAGCCTGCAGAAGGGGGACTTTTCGTCCCTGCTAGTACCCTGAGGGCCGTCCTTGGGCTAAAAGCTGCCCCCCTGCCCCAATACCCACCTGCCCCAGAATGCAAACCACCAAAACCAGCCCTGGTGCCAGACACCGTGGCCTGTTATCCCAGCAGCTCGGGAGACTGAGGCAGGAGGATGGTCGATTGGAGGCCAGCCTCAGCAACTTAGCTTAGAGCTAACCTAAGCTGTAAGGGGCTGGGGACGGGGCTCGATCCGTGGAATTTCAAACTCACCCGTGCGCCCATGTCACCCCCTACCCCTGACCCTTCTCTTCCAACGCGCATCTAAAAGCCAACAGATCTCCAAGTCCACACGAGGGTCACGGATAAAATGCGTTTATTCGTTCTCTGCACCGTCACCAAAGGACACGTTTACACGCCACACGGAGGGGGCTCACTCCCCCCCCTCAGGTCACCCCACCCGAGCCCTCCCTGTCCCCTGATCACAGAACCTGAATGCATGTGCCCTCCGTGGTTCAAATACCGTCGTGCCGAAAGGTGTGTGGTGCGGGTTGTAATCACGGCGACAGAAAGATGCACCCCCTAAAGGGACCCTAAGATCTGCAAACTGCACCCCCACCCAGCCTCTAAGTGACACCCACAGTTAAGAAGCCAACGTGCTTGAGACAAAGAGGAGAGCGAGCGAGCCGAAGGTATACGCAAGGTGCGCACTTGAGGGAGGTGCGCAGGTGGTGACCAGAGAGGGTGCTTGCGCTGCAGACAGGGGACACAGCGGGTTGGCCCTTGAACAACTGCAAACTGCGAAAGCCTCGGAGCCCAGGTCAGCATGCCACCGAGAACCAGCGGCCGGTCACTCCGCGGTACTGAGAATCGGCGTTGGGGGACTTGAGCCTGCGCGCTTGCGCGCTTGCGCGGGCTGGCTTCAGGGGATCCGAACCCAGGATGCTTTGGACACATATGTCCTTCCAAAGAGCAAAAGCGCCATCCAGGTGGCCACCCTGGGGCGGTGACCAGAACCACAGTCGGTCGATCCACCACCTGCCGCGCCCTTTTTGGATAACGCAGGACAGGACTCTGCAGACCCAGCGCGGAAGGAATCCTGGGCCGAGAAGTCCCCTGCGCTGACAGTGGCGCTGAGTGGCGAGGTCCCCAGGAGCAAAGGGACCCCCGCCCCAGGGCTGTCCCTGCACAGAAGAGCGCGGAGGGATCCTCGCCCTGCTGACCCACTGCAGAGGACCCTCGGAAGCAGGGCGACGCCGCGCGCCCCGTTCTCTCTGTGGCGTTCCAAAGGGACACCATCCCTTCCCGTCCCTCCCCGCGCACTGGGTGCGTGCCGTGTGGCCATCGAGAAGGCCCAGAAATGGAGAATTTAGGGTACAGAAATCTGCGGAGGGGACCCCGCGGGGAGGAGAGAGGCGCGCTAGCTGGGGAGGGGACCCGGGCGCACAGAGGGGGAGGCGGCCCGCTAGGCCAGGCTGCGTCCTAGGAGCGGCACAAGGGTCCTCGGGACGCTCTGGACTGGACAGGGTGCTCTGCTCCTCCCTAGGTCTTGGAGGCATCTGAAATGGGGGGGACCAAAAAGAAAGAAAAAGTAATAATGATAAAAAAAAAAAAAAAGGAGACTTTTAAGAGGTCAGCAGGGGGCAGGAGCCAGGTGGACAGAGCCGCAGCCAGGTGGCGTTAGAGGACCAGGCAGGAGGCAGGAGGGTGAGCGCAGCCCTGCTCCGCACAGCGTCCAGCTGTCTGTCCATCAGGGACACAGGCCCAGCCCAAAGCGCCTCCCTGAGCATGGATTAGGCTCCGCATGGTTGTGCGCCCCCCACGCGGACCTCGAAGCTGACCCGGTGCCAGGGGACAAGCAGCAGAGACAGACCCTGCAAGCGTCAGGCAGGTGGCCCGCTGAAGCTCCTAGAAATGCAGATTCGCATCTGGGGACATCTACTCTCAGAACGCCCCTGGTCACCCGCGTCACCCTGGGGGAGCTCAAGACGCCACAGGGAGAAGCTTTGGGGTCAATGTGTCTCCTGATGCAGGGTCAGTGACTGATCCGTCCCCACGGGGGACAGAGACACCTGCTCGTACCCCACTGGCCCAAGAGGAGCCCCGGGGTTCGATCCGCGGACAGCAAAATGTCCAGAGCAAACAGGTGATTGCACAAAGAGCGTCCCCTCCTCCCTTCCGTGGGGAACTCGGTTTGCCCCAACCCTGCCCGGCCACCCCAGGTCATTTCTCTACCTCTGTCCCTAAAACCACGCTATCTGAGTCACGCATTACGCTTTTCCCTGGAATCCTAGATCCTTGGTGGCATCTCCTTGAACGTGGGCATTGGTCTGCCCAGATTCCTGACTTGGAGCAAATCCTGGGCCTCATTGAGGGACTTTTAAGCACCAGGTCCCAACCCCGCTGACGGACCATGGAGTCCCCAAGACGCGGGTCCCCAAGGCACCCCGTGTCCCGATTCTCCATCCAATTTTGCACCCCATCCAAGAGCCTCACTGGTTAGTTGGTTTCACCAAATTGGGCGGGAGCGACTCCCCATTTGGGGGGTCGGATTCCTCTGGGTGCAGAAAGCAAGATGGCGGCCCAGCCTTGGGCTCAATCGCCATCCATATTTCCTCGGGATGGCGTCCCCACAGAGGAGTCCCCACACAGCCCGGGGCACCTGCAGCCCGCGTGTGCCCAGAACCCGCCAGCGCTGGAGCAGTTAGCAACCTGTGCACATGTGCATGTCGGGGCAGCAGGGCCTGATCGCAGAGCCAGGGAGCCCCAGCCTCGCACCCGCGCTGTGAGCCGGCAAGAGCGCTGCGTGTGCTTTTGCGAGGAGGCCCGGTGCGCGGCCAGGAGGGCACCTACCGTTTTCTTTGAAGCACAGCTTCTTTTTCTGGTAGGCGATGAAGCTGGAGATGGCCCCGGCCACGGCCACCACCACGGCCCCCACGATGCCGGGGACCACACCCTGGGAGTTAGCTGCACAGAGGAAGAAACAGACGTCACCGTGACGGAGAGGGACACGCGGATGGCAATGGAATCCCAGGACAGCCGCCCGAGAGACCCATCTAAACACCGCATAGAAGATGGGTCCAGGAAGCTCAGGAGGCTGAGGCAGGAGGATGGCGAGGTCAAAGCCAGCCTCCGCCAAAGAGGGGTCCTGAGCAGCTCAGGGAGACCCTGTCTCTAAATAAAATGCAAAATAGGGCTGGGGACGGGGCTCAGGGGTCGAGGGACCCTGAGGTCAATCCCGGGTACCAAACCCACCAAAAAAATTTGTCACTTATTTCCTAAAATTGCAAAGTGGCCACGCAGCCGTGCGGCCGGCCGAGCTGTGGCCCGTGATTGACACGGAGGGACGGGGACTCTGCCGAGGTCTTCAGGGCGATCGTGCAAATACTACGACTTAAAGCACCGTGTCCCCGGCGTCCCTTGTCCCCAGAGGAGAGGGGAAGGGAGAGGGCGGCCGTTCAAGGTACATACTGTCTTGTCCCTCGTTCCTGTGACTGCCACCGTCAGAGCCACCGCCGTGTCCTGCAAAAGAAGAGCAGGAGTGTTGACCGAGGGCAGCCTGCTCCTGTCTCCTCTGCACCTGGAAGGTCCCCCGGAGGTCCCCTGTGTCAATGGCTCGGTCCCCATGCATGTGGGGGCTCGGAGACGGGGGACGAGTCTGCAGGGGGGTCTCGAGTGTGGCCTTTCAGGGGCCTCTGAGTGGACCTGGGTCCATCCTTTTCTGTCTGCGTCCCAGCAGGAGGTGACAGACCCAGGACCCCTCAGCAGGGAGCCTTCCGTCAACACAGGTGGCCCTCAGCTGGCTCCCAGGGGTCCAGCCCAGGACAGAGCCCCCCAGGGACAGAGCCATGCATTCGAGAGTGACCTCGCCGAGAAGCTCGGGGGACGCTCCCTTCTGTGACTCTGCAGGGCCGGTGGCCGCAGGGGGTGGGGGGAGAAAGGACAGCTCACCGTCACCTCCCGAAGTCCCGTCTAGGAGGTCACTGTCGGAAAAGCCACCTGGGGAGAGAGGGGAAGAGTCAGCGGGTCCTCGGGGTGGAGGGGGCCGTCCCGGTGCGGAGGCAGGAGGACGGCCAGTTGGAGGCCAGCCTCAGCCCGTCAGCACGGCCCCATCTCCAAAGGAAACAGGAAAAGGGCTGAAAACTGCAGATTCCAGCCCAAAGCGGCCTTTGGGGGAAAGGACGGTCCCCACAACCCCCAGTCCAGCCACGCCCCATGACCCCAAGTCCAGCCGAGGGACAGGGGGGACTTACCAGAGGAGCCGGGCTGGTTGGGCCTGGGCTTGGGCTCATTGGGCGACGCTGGGGCATCTGTAACAGAGTTAGAGCAGCGAGAAATGAAGGGAGGGACCTTCCTCAGCTCCCCCAGGTCACCCAGCAGCTGGACAGCACAGCTAGCCCTCGCCCCGGAGGGGACACTCATCCCACGGCCACCTGGCAGTTGCCGTCCACCCCCTGGTGACGATGCTACTCACTGAGTGCTTTCAACAGAGGCCAAATGGTCACGTGGGAGGCCACGCAGGAAGGTTCAGAGGTGGAATGAGTGGGTTGTGAGAGGTGTAGACTCATAGTGGATTAATCCACTTGGATGGACTCACTGGGT